GAGCTTCCGACCCATCAAAAGTTCAGCAGGACTACAGCCTGTCACTTCATGCGGCGTCGTCCTGTATGACAGCAGCAGTCTGGCTATTTGCATATGAAGGTCCCCCGATCCGGCCTTCTTCAACTTCTGCTTAATCGTCTGCACAGCTCGCTCGGCCGCTCCATTGGACGCGGGGTGGTATGGGGGCACCAGCACTTGTCTTACGCCATTCTTCCGTAAGAATGTCTTGAATTCTTCGCTCACGAATGCCGGACCATTGTCTGATACAACTACATCCGGCAGCCCCTGAATAGCAAACATCTTCCGCAGACAATCAACTGTCACAGACGTCGAGCATGTGCTTACTGGAAATACCTCGATCCATTTGGAATAAGCGTCGACGGCAATGAACAGGTAGGTGCTTCTCAGGGGTCCAGCAAAGTCTACATGCAGTCGAGACCACGGCCTTTCCGGAAATGGCCATGGCCTCACTGGTACCGATCTTGGCGCTCGCTGATGCTCTTGACAGGTACGGCATGCCTCCACTGCTGCCGTGATGTCCTCATCCAGAGCTGGCCACCATACATGGCTCCGGGCCACTGCTTTCATCTTGGAGACTCCTGGATGACTTTCATGTAGCAACTGGAGCACATCTGCCTGTAAAGACGTGGGGACTACCACTCGACTTCCAAGTAAAATGCAATCACTCTGAACGCTCATCTCTTGAAACCGTGCTTCGTATGGCTTCCACGGATGTCCGCAGGGCGGCCTTTGACCAGTCCACAGTGCTGCTCACAGTTGTGACAAGCACGAATCTCTGCTCGTAGCTGCTGCAACCGTTTGGGCTGACAATACTCTTGGGTAGCATCCTTGGAGCATGAGCACCTCTGGGGGGCACTCGACCTGAAACTCGGTTGTAGGTAAGGGCAGCCAACTCAGTCCGTCTGCGTGAGGAATCTGTCCGCCAGGCCTGTACTTCAAGGTGTAATCATACCCCGACAAGAACAATGCCCAGCGTAAGATACGTGGCGAACATGACTCGGGAATGGGCTTGTCAGCTGCCAACAGCCCAAGGAGTGGTTTATGGTCAGTGGCCGCCTCAAGCGAACGCCCCCAAAGGTACTGCTTGAAACGCGTCACTCCGAATACTGCTTGAAACGCGTCACTCCGAACACCATAGCAAGCGCCTCCTTATCAAGCTGGCTGTAGTTTCGCTCGGCAGCAACCAGGCTCCGCGACACAAATGCGATAGGTCGCTCTTCTCCCGACGCCTCCCTCTGTGCAAGAACCGCACCGAGACCGTACGGAGATGCGTCTGTGACCAGCACAGTTCTCTTCCTTGGGTCGAAATGGGCCAACGTTTCTGCTGATGCCAGCAAGGACTTACTCTGCGAGAAAGCCTCGTCTTGAGATGACGTCCAAGTCCATGGTACGTCCGGAACCAGCAGACGATTCAGCGGGTGCAGTACTGCAGAAAGTCGGGGAATGAACTTGCGATAAAAGTTAATAAGGCCCAGGTAGCTTTGGAGGCTTTTGACGTCCTGCGGTCTTGGAGCCAAGAGGACAGCCTCGACATTCTTGGGGCTGGGGTGCAACCCATTGCGCGTAATGATATGGCCTAAATACTCCACACGCTCCTTCATGAACTCGCACTTAGCTAGCTTCAAGCGAAGGCCTGCCTCCTGAAGGCGCCCGAGGACCCGGCACACATTCTTCCAGTGATCTTCGTCACTTGCGCCGGTCACAAGAATGTCATCGAAATAGACCGCAACGTGCGGCAGATCACCCAGGAGATTGTCCATTTCTCGCTGGAACAAGGCAGGGGCGGACACCACGCCAAACGGAAGCCTTGTAAACATGATCAGGCCTTTCAGAGTGTTGATCGTGACCAATTCTTGTGACTGTGGATCCAGCTGGACTTGTTGATACGCGTCCTTTAGGTCGAGCTTGGTGAACTTCACCCCGTTGGTCAGTTTCGCGAACAGCTCTTCAATCCTAGGAATTGGATAGCTTTCGCTGACCGTCGCTGGACTGATGGTGATCTTGAAGTCGCCACAAAGGCGTACGCGGCCATCTTGCTTGACAACAGGAACTACGGGTGCAGCCCACTGCGACGTCTTGACAGGGCGTATGATGCCTTCGCGGTGCATACGCTGAAGTTCCTCTACTACTCTGTCTCGGAGTGCGAATGGCACTGGTCGTGCTTTAAAAAATTTCGGTCTTGACCCTTCCTTCAGGATGATCTTTGCTGACACACCCTGCATTGTCCCAAGCGTGTCTGAAAAAACTTCGCTGAATTGTTCGACTAGGCTTGTGACGGAACGGACCGCATTCACCCCCTCAGGCTTTGAAATAGTAATCTTGAATGCTTCCATCCAGTCTCTGCCCAGCAATGTCGGACATGTCCCCTTCACCACAAACAAGGGCAGTGTCGACTCAAGTGTTCCCACCTTGGCTGCTGCAGTAATCTTCCCCAGAACCGATGAGAGCTCTCCCGAATAGCTCTTCAGTCTCACTTCGGAGTGTTCTAACGGCGTTCCAGGAAACAGTGCATTGAACTTTTGCTTACCGATGATGGAAACGCTGGCGCCGGTGTCCAGCTCCATAACTAGTGGCACGTCGTTCACGATGGCTTTAATCTGCATGGGCCCGGGTCCCGTTGATCGCAATGACCACATGGCGCACTCGTCTACCTCGGGTTGTGTCTCCTGGAGGTCGTCCATTTGGTGCACAGAGCTAGAGTCCATTCGATTCTTTGAGCCAGTCGGTGCCGCTCTGCAGGCCCTTGCAATGTGCCCCTGACGTCCACACTTGAAACAGGTGCTTGCCCGGTGGCGACACCGGGACGTTTGATGTTTATCTCCACACCGATCACAGCCACGCTCGACTGCGTTAGCCGCATTCCGTCTGGGAAGTTCCACAAAGTTGGCTCAGGCTGAGGACAGAGGGTGTGGGCGTCTTTCCTTGCGGCTTCCATTGCAATGACCAGTTGCTTTGCAGACTCAAGGTTCAGGTCTGACGATTCCAATAACCGTGTCTGCATTCCCGTGTCGTTGATACCGGACACTATCTGGTCCCTCATCATGCGGTCGCGCGTGGTGCCGAAGTTGCAGTCATCTACCAACTTGTTTAGCGCCGCTACATAGTCACTGACAGCCTCACCTTCGTGCCGTCGCCTTGAGAAGAATTTGAAGCTTGCAACAACTTCCGATACCCTGGGCTTGAAATGGGCATTGAGAGCTGCGAAGATTTCGGTGAGCGTCGCCTCCCCTGGTTTCGTTGGCGCGAGCAGACTTCGTAACAGTGAGTATGTTGCTGTCCCGCAGCTTGTCAGAAATGCGGCCGATTTCTTTTCCTCAGCAACATCGTTGGCCAGGAAGTACAGGAGAACACGCTCCTGGTATTCCGCAAACTCAGTTGTACTTGCATCAAACGCTTCCAGCTTCCCGAAGGCCGGCATCTTGTCACGTACCTCTCCTCTATATCTTCGTCGCGGCACTGCGTCAATATATTAAGGTTTATCTCTCGTCGCCAGTTGTCATAATCGAACCAGACGCCATGCAAGTCCCAGTGCAAGTGCGTGCAGCCCGCGCCGCAGCACGTTTACTTCTTCCTTCACAACATCTGTTTTCATACAAAACCCTGTCCTAGGCACCACCTGAACTAAGAGCACCACCCACCCAAGGCACTGAAAGACTAAGGGTCTTCGTTGCCGAGGCACCATTCGAACTAGGAGCACTGCCCACCCTATAGAGTTACCGCATTTAAACCAGGGTGTCGAACCGGAACCGAACCGGTATTTTTTCCGGAACTGAACCCGAACCCGAACCGTTATATTGTTATTGCGATGAACCCGAACCGAAACTGAACCGGAAAAAAATAACGGTTACCGGCTCATGTCAAAACGGTTCGGCCACGCGCTGTTGATAATGAATGTGCTATCAATGCCATTTGTTTTTTAAGAGCCGTCAACTGACACACACCTCGCTTACATATTTTTCTTCTCCACTCACTCTTAGGGATATAAACGCTGCATCCATGAATCTTGACATAGGAACCAGTATTGCGCTGGTCGCGGCTTGCACGGAAAAAAAAAAATTGGAAAGCTATGCAAAAAAAAAAAAATCGCGTCACGGGATTTCTTTTTCCTACAATCTCGTAAATCCTAAATGCTGCTGTGTGCTCATTTCCTAACACGTTTCTAGAACGCGCGAGTTCTTGAAGCTTGCTTCCATCGGAATGAGAAAAGAAAAGGCTGTGGAGTTTGATAATAATGCATCCGGTTTCGTTTAGACACTTAGAAGCTAACATATTTGTGAGACAGCGAACTCTTTTATTTTAATATTTATCCTATTACGACCTTCTGGCGTTGCGTTCGGTGAAGTGTTTTTCATATTCCGTATCTTCTTTAATGAAAACTTCTTTAAGGGTCTAATTTGAGTTACCGAAGGCTAGTTCAAATAAAGAAAGCTGTATTTTCTCCCCACTGTTCCTTCAATTGCTTACACGCCGAGGTGGAGGGATAGTTAGCGAGTTCTACTTGTAAGTGGGTTTGTAAGGAGGTCGCGGATTTTACAGCTACTGCGTCGGACCCAATTAGATGAAGTCCGAATGCGTTAACGTCGGTGAGGTAACCTTTGAGCGCACATAAAGAAACCATTCCTGGTAGAAATCCCTGAGCCTTACACTACGATGTATCCCGTTTCGTATGTGCTGATTTCAGATGTTTTATTTGTAATTTATTTTAATGTTGCAATTTGTCATTTATAATTTCCGAACCGGTTCGCGAATTGGTTCAGCGCCCCGAACCGGTTCGCGGATCGAATTAATCTAACCGGAACTGAACCGGAACAAAATAAATTTACCTGAACCTGAACCGTAACCGAACCTGTATTTTTTTCGGTTCGACACACTGATTTAAACACATATTTTTTTTTCAGATTGGCCCGTGTGATGCAATGCTACTGATAGCAAGATGTCAGTAGCTGTCTTTGGTTGATGGGCTTTTTACTTTTCTGCAGGAATCCAGCAGTTCTTGTTTGAAAATGGACGGCACGACAACATCTTCAGCGATCCCCAGTATGAGATGTTCTCTGGCTGCCTGAATGACGTCTTGCAGAAGGCGCATGATTCCAGTGCAGATTGTAAGTGCTGGTCTTTAGGAAGGATGTACTCTAGGCAACCCTATTAGCACGAGCACAACATTAATGCTTTTTCACATTGGTCTTTGAAGGTATATTAGTAGGCACCAAATTTCAGCTCATAGTTTTGTGTCCCACGTGAATACTTCCCACCACACCAGCAGTCTTAATGACAACCTTTCAAACCTAAGAAAAAAACAAAAGGCATTTGCGTATTTCCACTAATAGTGTCGCGCTGTATGTGCTTAGGTTAGAGGTTTTTGAAGACTAATTCTGATGGAGCTGTGTTTGGCATTTTATCAAGAGGGCTAAGTCAACTTTTGATATACCCTCTTCAGGGTCCTGTTATTTTTATATGTTTGAAGCAAATTGCAGTAGAACCTAAACACATTTTTCAGCAGTCTGTGGCTGAACAATCGGAAAAATTGAGAACGCAAAAAACCAGCAAGTCGTCGTCAATGCTAACTTGGTCACAGTCTGTATGGTTTAACAATTTCTTGACAATTTGAGAGACCCACTCGAAATGTATTGCTGGCGGGGGTCACTGCATGCTCATCCGGCAGTCATGTCATTATGAAAAGAAGAAATATGTGCGACATAAATGCACCAATTTATTTTGAGTGCATTATTGTGTGTCTCAGTCCCTAGCAGTATCAAGACTGTGTCTGGTGCCAGCCACCTTCTCAGTCACATGCTCCGGTGTTATTCTCCGTCCGTGACCGAGATGAACTGAAAGGGGCCGGGCAATGATACTGGATAGGAATCTCTTTCACTTTATAGAAGCTTGCTGGATCGAGTAGCACCCAAGCATACTAGTATGCAATGCCACCGACTGAAAAGCTTCTTTGTCTCCCCATAATTTCAAGGTCAAAAGCAGACACTTTCTTTCAGTCTCTACTTACCAAGATTTGACTATAAAGTTGTGGAGATCGTATCATTGGCGTTCTGAACTACGCTATTCCTAGGATGTCGTCAGCAAGCTTCGCGATCCCCGCAGCTACAATATTTAAATGCAACTCGTACAGTCGGCACAGGCACTCACGAGCATTCAATTTGGGCTCGTGACATTCAATACCTCTACGTTCATTTGGGCAGTTTCCCCTAGCCCGAGCGCTTTTGTGACGAGAATAATCTAACCTTAGTAATATGTGGAACTGGGTGCGTGCCCTGTGCTTAGCATACCCCAGTGCGTGGCTACGATAAACATTGGCGGCACATAATCGGCTCCAGATCACTTGGCCGCTTGCTCTGGCTGTGATTTAAGGGAATGAATGCTACTAATTTTTTCTTTCATTTTTACCGTGACAACCATTACACGGAGAAAAAAAAAGCCAACCCATGTTTTATAGGTTATGAATGTCGAGGAATAATCCAAAGCAGCATTTACCGGAAGTACAAAACGCGGTACAGCCGTTCATTTGGCGTTGCCCTCTTCCCGCACAGCAAATGAGCGCATCAGCGAAGCGGTCCTGTGGGATGCGAAGCAGCTCGGTGCCCACTCGCCCCTCGTGCTGCTGAACACGCTCATGTACTTCAACATCAGGGACTTCCACCTGCACACTGTGGAAGACCACCTGAAGCTCTCCTTTACCAATGTGACGAAGCAGTGGCAGAAGGGCCCCAAGGCACAGTCCACCAGGATCCTTAGGTGGACACCCGATCCCGAAGGTTCGCCCATTACTTCTTTACCTCACTCGCTGTATTCTTTCATGCACCGTCTGTAGACCGAGGATTCTCAAACTGGGTTTTTTGGAAGCGAGGGGTTCTCCAAGCTCTGAAGTTTCTTTGCTTATTTTAAAGAGATTGTCCAGTTCAAGCACTGTTTCGGGAGATCTGAGCCACCCCAATGATGTGCAACTATGTGTCAAACATTATTATGTATATTACTGTGTATGAAGTCTGCGGGCTCCTGCACTGCCTCAATGCCAACACCAGAGGGGGTCTCGTGCCTGTCATTCCAGGCGGACAGGAGTTCCTCGAGATGTCTGAGAACTCCCTCTGTAGACAGTTTCGACCTGTCTACCATCCAGCAGAGCATGCAGACAGCTTATCATTGGGACTAGTAAGAGCCTAGTGAACTACAAAGCAGCAACAGTGCATAAGAGACTCATCTGCACTGCAATGCCATACTCGGGGACAACTTTCTGCGGCAATGGAGTCCAAAGCTGGAGAGCCAAAGCATGCCGTTTACTGCCCAGCTTAGTATAGTTTGACCAAAATAATTAGCTGGGTGTAACTTGACCAATTTAAAGTATATATCAAAATGTTCTTTTTAGCTTTGATTTCATAACGTTACTAGTATATCAGCCAAGCTCTGTCAAACTTGTATACCATTTCTTTTTTAGTTCTTTCGACTTTTCTTGTTTTAGGCTCGCTGCAAGTTTTTTAGTTCCCCACCAAAAACAAAGATGGCGTCTTTATCGTGTGTGTCATGGGAATCATCGGCGTGGTGTATCGTTGACACCTTCTGCGAGCTCGCCCCTTTGCTCGCCCCATAGGATTTTCATGAAGTTTGGTAACCAAGAGTTGTCAAAACAAACTAAGCGAGTGGTGTGCAACGTGTACGCACAAGTGAAGCAGAGGGAACGGGGCTACACTATTGTTTTCTTATACCAGTTGGTTAGCGGCGTAAGCTAGCAGGGGTTGGGATTGAGCCCAGGATCCCTGGGTTCTGCGGTGCGAGCTTTCGCTATTCGCGACTCCATCTAAACAAACGGCACACAGCGTTTCTATATTCAAACCTGCCCAGTGAGAGTCTCGCACTAATATATTCTCATGCAACGAGAATGTTGGTCACGTGGTGGCGAAAAAAACAACCCTGTTAGAGAGGACCTGAAAGTGAGGGTTTGGAGTCGGGGATACGTGTTCCGAGCTATGGTGAGCCACTGACTCCCCCCTTTTAGGGCCAGCAGTAACTGAACGCGATCCAAATGGAATTGGACTTCGTGCTATTTCGATATATCGTGCCCGTGCTATGATTTTTCACCACCAGGAGAGCTTACCTATCAATGACCTCAAAACCCCGTAATGCTTTTGAATTTCATGTCATTTCTTAAATTGATGCTACATATCTGCGTCGGTTGCAAGACAAACAAAATTCAAGAAGATTGACCACGGTGTAATTTACCTTATAAGACGGTCAAATGCTTCGGTTAAAGCTTTGGCTTGCGTTTAACAACGGAAGAAACATTGGGAAAGAGATGCGGATATGCCTGCATGCTTGGCAATCGCGATTCAACACCCTCAACTGCAATCCTTATACGAAAAGGATAACTGGAGCAATTGTATGGTTGTCACGCCAAAACCCAAACTGAAATCGAAACCAGAAGATCCAGAACTACTTGGCACGATAACACAGAGCCTTTAGCTCTGCCTGCCTCCCTCTTTCCCTTGCTTTCTCTTCATTGCCACGGAAAGTTGACTCCGAGTATAGGCAGGATATTTCACTAGCCCGGAGTCCAGCACAGATCAGTTCTAGGAACAAATGTTGCCTGAGCTTTATCATTTGCTAGGCTGTTTCTGTAGGTTGCAATAATTCACTCTCCACACACACTGCAAGGAAATGAAGGTGTGAGCATTGTTCACAAATAGTGTGTTTTAAATACAGCACAACCTTAAGTTCTCTCGTCTTTTCTTCTTTTTTTCTTTTGCGACGAAATGGGATTTGCTTTTTGCCTGGGCTTTTGTGAATCGTTTGTTGTTTGCTTGCAATTGCAGGCGAGGAACAAGGCCGCAAGTTTATGGACCAGCAGGAGAATGTAGAGGACCCGCTCAGGTGTCCTGTCAAACTCTACGAGTTCTATGTTTCGAAATGGTAAGATGACTGGACCGTCTTGTGAGTTTTGCCAGTTTTTTTCCGTGCTCCTTAGATTTGCTCTATCAAGCAGCCTGCCTGGTGATGTCAAATCCTCACACTTGCAAAGCATTATTTGGTGCTAATAATACTCCTAAATTTTGGCAATCTATTAAACTTGTAGAATTCTTTGGATTTATTTTTTGCAGCTTTGTGATGTATGTAGGCTCACCTGTTTTTCACCAAACAAGCTGTCCATTAATAATATATTACCTTTTCTGAGCTTTCCTCAGTGGGTCTCGATATATAGATTGTTAGGTAACTCCTTGTACGATTTATTTGTGACCCTGATTATTCTCTTGGCAGCGTCTTCCATTGTTATTAGTGTCCCCACAAAGTTTTTCAGAGGTGGGCAAATTGTTCAAACATTTGTCCTTTATAGCACAGTCACCGTCCGATTTTTTGGACCTGACAAGAGTCGTGTGAAAGTCAGAATAATCGTGTGGCCCAAAGAAATTACTTTGGCCCAAATATCAACCTTCCGTGCAACGATTCCACTCAGTATCGGCCACCTTCTCCTTGTTTTATGATGAAAGGTTTTTTTTTCACCTCTCTCACCTCTTTGCATTTGCTCTGGGTACTCTGCTAACCAAGGTACTACAATGAAAGCTCGTTAATTCACAACTCATTAACTCTAACTTTTGGATAATTCAAACCAATTGCCATGGTCTGGTCATGTTGCATAGAGGTACATGCGCAAAACAACCCATTAATTTTCGCTCAAATCGTTTCCGGCACCGATAATTCAAACCATGCGCCGCCATGCGGGGAGGTTTCCCAGTCAAGCAGTGGGTGGCGCGGTGGGAGCCACGTTGCCAGAAATGTGAGAGCGTTGCCGGTATCCACTGTGGGCCAATAGGAATGCGTACACGGATATTTGGAGCAACGTCGCCGGGAGTTCAAGTGGGTTTCTTTAGTGCTTTTCTGAAGCCTCCAGCCTCCCTTTGTTCTCCTTCTCCGCTTCACTAGTTCTGCTTCCTTGCTTCGTTGAGTTGGGCCCAATCTGTTGAGCTGTTGCCACCGTTGCACGATTGCCAACCGTTTCATTTGTTCTTGTGACTTGGCTGGTGGCAATAGCCGTAGGACCGCGCCGTGCACGTTGAGACCAGGATGTCGTCATCGGGTGCACTGGCCCCCCCGAGGAAAGTATCGTGCCAAAATGCTTAGAGAGAAAGTGGAGATTTTGCATGAAGTAGACGCAGGAAAAGCGAGCATCAAGATTGCCAAGAAGCCCGAGATCCCGAGGAGCACGTCGTCTACATGCATCCGCAACAAGAGAGCAATCGAGGATGCCTACGAAGCTGAAGTTTTTGTCCACGACTGAAAAGTACTTCGCTCTGCCAAACACCTGGATTTGGAAGAGGCACTTATCACCAAGGTTAAAGACATAAGAAGCCAAGATCTTCCTCTCAGCGGCCCCATCATCATGGTAAAGACAGCCGAGTTCGCACTCCATTTGAAACACCACGATTTCGCCGCGTCATCGCTTCCACCAGAGGCACGACCTCATCTTCCATACCATGTCTGTTGAAGGTAAAGATGCGATCATGAAAACTTGCGCAATATGGCGAAATGGAGCCCTGCAGGGCTACCTGGATAGCTACACGGCGTGCGATATCTCGCAAATGAGACCGCTTCATTTTTTAAGTTTTTACTGGACAAAACAATCACGTACAAAGGAGACAACTGCACAGACAGGAAGCGAAGTAAAGAGCGTGTCTCTGTCTTGGTCGCGGCAAACATAACTGGAACAGAGAAGCTTCCCCTGCTCTTAATGGGAAGGTCAATAAAGCCTCGGTGTTTCAAGCCAGCTGTTGGCAGTGTGCAAGTGTTTCAAGAACACTTGCACACTGCCAACAGACTACAAAGCCAACAGAAAGGCGAGGATGACTGGCGAGGTGTTCAGAAAGTAGCTTAGCAAGCTGGACAGAAAGTCCGAATTGAGCAACCGACAGGTCCCGCTCATTGTAGACAACTGCTTAGCGCACAAGGTCAGCATGGAGCTGAAGGTGATTAAACTAGTGTTTCTTCCACCAAACATGACTGCAGCACTCCAGCCTATGGACCAGGGTGTGATCAAGAATATCAAGTCCTACAGACATCACGTGCTGAAACGAATGATTCTTTGCGCAGCGAAAGGGAACCAGACTTATAACGTGACGCTCCTCAGCACCATGCACATGCTGGTCTGTGCACGAGATTTCCCCACCACAACGATTGCTAACTGTTTCCATCACTGGTTTCAGTGTCTTGGGTGCAGAGGTGACTGACGGCGACACCGGAGAGCTTAAAGTTGTTGCTGAGGGCATACGTGATCTGCTGCAGGACGCGAGTTTTGAATGATTACATCGATGCAGACGGTAGCACGGTGGTATGTGGCGCTATGACAGATAAAAACATCATTGCTCAAGTAGTTGGCAAACTCGCCGCGGAAGTGGAGGACGATGTCGACGAGGAGAAGGAGGAAGTGGAGGAAACTCCGATTCAGCCATCCGCACCGGATGTCATGGATGCACTGAACGTTGCATGTCCTTCAGCTTTGAAGAAAGCGAAGAAGATGCCTCGTGCTTGGTTCATTCCTTCGAACATAAGCTGATGATCAAAACTTTGCAAGAAAAAAAGCAGATGATGATTACTGTGGATAATGAAGGTTTGTTGTTCCAAGTGTTTCCTGTTCAAAAACAACCTTTTTTTTTTATTTAGTAGTTTGAATTTTGTTTAATTTAAAAATTTTTAGCATCTCCGTGCAATCCGAATTAACGAGCTTTTACTGCAGGCCAGTTGGCAGAAAAAACTTGCATTAAAGGGCCACTAAAAAAAAGGGGAAAAAAAATTTTTTTTTTTTTTAAGCAGTCGAGTTGGGACACACTGTTAAAAAATAAATTTTATGCGAAAACAAAATATGTTTTGAGCAATATTGATTGTCTGAGGCGCGATTTAGTCGGAGCCACCTCCTCTTTACTTGTTTTCTCTCTGCATTTTGTGCGCGTGGAGGAGAGGTGAATTGGCTTGGCCATCACATTGAGGTGGAGAGAGTATGACCATCTCGTTGAGGTGAAGAGAGTGTATGACCATTTCCTGACTTCATAAACTTTGTGCGCAGAATTTAAATAAATCTCACGCCATCAATATTCAAACAAATTTCAAATTTGTTTGAAATTTTTTATTTTTTAAATTGAAGTTTTTGGTTTTAGAAACCAATTATACACTCTTGCACTAAATTATATAACCAAATAGTTTCATTCATATAAAATATTTTCAACACATGTGAGGCAGTAAGAAGGTAAAGGAGTTCAATGTTTAAGGGGGGACACTACCCAGAAAAAACAATTTCTGCAAAAAAAAGTTGATTTTGAAAAATGTCATATTTACATCCACCAACATCTAGAGAGTATTCCCAGATAGTTTCATTAGTTTACACTGCATAGTTGATTTTTTATAGATTATTTTCGGTCCACCAATGCTAAAGAAAAGGTAGAGGTTGGAGCACTTTGAACGCATTTTTCCCCATTCCACTTTTTGGCATAAATTTCATTTTAGGAAAACTATCGTTTTGTTATTACGCAACTTGGATTCATTTTTATGAATTTTTCTGGGGTGAAATTTTAAGGGGAAGATAACTATGAGCTTGTATTTTTTATTTTTGTCTATTTTCATGCTCAAAAACTAAAAGTTTGGACAAAGGATGGAAATTTAAAAAACTGTATTTGTGTTTATGTGGCTTTTTTGTCATGAAAGATGGTACAATATAGAAATATAGCTCCATAGTTATCTGCTCTGAACTGTCCTAATGCAATGTAACACATGAAAACGACAAATTTATAAGTAATTTCAAAACGATAGTTTTCCTACGCAGACACGCCCACTTTCGTCTTTGAACGTTTGCAATTTTTTTTGTACTTCACTTAGGTTAACAAAAATTGGCAGAAATGTTCTCAACATCAACAGAAACAAGCCCTGTAAATATAATTTAAATCAGACAAGTGGTTCAAAAATTTACTTTTTTGGGTAGTGTCCCCCCTTAAATGCATTTTTCTCTGTTCCCCTCTTTGCTGCAAATTTCATTCGATTTTTTTGTTGGAAGATAAAAGTATTCTGTTACCACAGTCAAGATGTTCCTAAACTGAAATTTGCTGGGAATTGGGCTATCTGCATTATTTTGTTTTAAATTGAACTTCTCATTGAGAAAAAACTGTTTTCAAAAATTGACATATGACATATACGCATCTTATATTTTGAGGTGATAACTCTTCCTGAAATATTTACATTTGAGTTATAAAAACTAAATAGCCCAAAGCCCCATGAGGTGATAACTCTTCCTGAAATATTTACATTTGAGTTATTAAACTAGATAGCCTAAAGTCCCACATATCCCGCTTTATACTCAAGTAGTCGAAAGGGTGCTTAATGGCTTCGTTTGCATATCATAAATTTCTTAACGAAGAGCGACACATCTTATGCAGGAATGTAAAATTGTTTTAGAGAGCTGAACGTTTGCACGATACACCTCCATCTGATGTTAAATCTCCCTTGTAAATTTTGTTCCGATCACTTGAGTAATTCAGAAGTTAAATCTCTAGCCAGTGTCCCCCGTTAAAGAAAACAAAAGGATTAAGGAATGGTGAAAGAGGGACGCTCATTTATGAGCCCCGGGCTCAGCCCAGCTTCTCTATTGTGAGAATGTGATGTCGGCGCTACAAGTCAAGACTAAAACAGCGGCAACTTAATTTGTGGCAGCAGTGGACCGCCAAACTAAGCCCATACCTGCCAACTCTTCCGAATTTTTCGTAAAATATACTAATCAGGACTAATTTTACGATTTTACAAATATTGCTTCAAATTTTACAAAAAAAAATTATAATTTTTTTTTTTTTATCTTTTTTTTTTTTTTAATTGTTGCTGGTGGTATTTTGAACCGCCACAAGAAGGCGTTAGGTAGCGTCCATGGCAGCATTGTGGTTTTTACTATTCGTCTATCCGGTGGCCACGGATCCAAAACCAATCCAAAGCCCACTGTGTTCGATTGTTTGTGTGTTCGGCAGCGCACGTTGGTTCAGCATGCTCAGGCGTGTTTCGGCCAGTTTCGAGGCGAGCAATGCGGCGTCTGTGTGTGTCTGTTGCACGTGTAATCGTAGCATTCCCCTGGTCACGGTGGCTTCGCGGCACAATGGCAAACTCGAAACCTCAAATATGTGTTCCTGAAGTCCTACATGTCGGAACTCCGGTGCTTCGTGCCGACCAAAAATTGAGAGAAGTTTGGATTCTTTAGCACGTGCACATGTGATGTAAGTCTTTCACACGGTGGCGAGGCTGACATTAAGCTGCACATCGCTTTGCGTAAACACTTCCCCCCCGCCCGCCCGTTCGCGCGCGGTTGTGGGAGTTTTACGAATTTGAAAGTCCGCAGGTTGGCAGGTATGCAAGCCCTGATAGTCAAGCAACAAGCCAAACAGCTTGCAAAACTTCAGTCACTATTATGCACTGTAACCCCACGAGTCGAGCGACGACCCCGCAAGGACGTCCGAACAACGGAGCACGTCCAAAACGTCAGTCGGCAACTGTGGTAACCAAGTTGACCGAACCATTTGCGAGCAATCAATGAATTTTTACTGGCTCGAAGTTCGTGCAGCAAAGTGAGCCTTTACGCCCGGACATTTTTCTTTGTTGCACGATGGTACAACGGCGTGGAAGTATTTCGAGGTTTTTTTGTGTCGGGAGTTGAGACGGCATCCGGTTTGTCTGCTCGCAGCCCAGACTTGACCAAGTGTCGGCCGGACGTGTACTACATGACCCCCGATCGGCAGTGCCTCCCCGACAGCCCGACGTGGTACTCGTCGCTGCCCGTGGGCAAAGACACCATGGCCAAGATGCTGACGCGGTTCAGCATGGTCAGGGAACTGCCAGACCTGGCCCGCACGCTCTTCCCGCACAGCTGATGCGCCGTTTTTACATTATCATTCCGCAATCCCCAGTCTGGTCATTTTCCAGCCGGGTTTGTACTCTCCCCCTCTGTCACTCGTGTCGCGCACCGCAGTCGCATTGCCCGTACGGGAATAAACTCTCGTAGAGAAGGGACTCCAACAGCATGTGGTACATTCATTTAGTGCATTTCTTTCCCTCGTGCATGTGTTAGAAGAATTTTGATGGGCCCGCGTGAGAGACGATGGTTCTGCTCTCGTTGAGTTGTTGGCTATGTCTGCAAAGCGATTGTTGGAACACCTGTAAAGATGTGTTGCCCCCTGAGGATCTATAACATCTAATATCACTTTTTTTTTTTTCTGGATATTGCATTAAAATTGTGTCTATCTGCCAATCATGTTGTATGGTTAAATGTTTTGTTGAGCCGATAGAAGTTTTTGAACCGTATCGTCTTCCATCTTTTTTATATCTCACTCAACCGACATTCTACAAGCTATGTTCAGTTGAAGTAATTTGATGGTGTCTTTAAACTTAAAAAATTCCTCTTCGAAAAGCACATTTTGATCGAGGAGATATGTCTAGAGTATTTGGTGGAACCAAAGTGCTGTGCTGGCGGGTAACCAAACTGGAAAGGTTTCTCATGAGTCACGACATCTGGTGGTGCTGGATTGCGTTATTATATTTCGCTGTTTACCTGTTGCTCCTGTAGGAGCTAAACCGACCGTTTTATATGGTTACTCCTTCAGTTCCTGAATATGTAGCCAGACCGTGTCATTGTGAAAATTCTGTTCATTTTCACTGAAAGATAGGTGCACAGAAACAAATAAAAGTTCCACTTCTCAATGTATCGATTTCACTTCCTTCACCGTGTCCTTTGACATTCATATACTCTAGCTCTTTAATACTTCACTGGCTGGAAAACGAAATTCTGAGTATGTTGTGGCTAGAGCTTAGAAAGTGTTTTCCAGTGCTACGCACGTGCTGGACTTGCACATATAATGGTCACGGAGCCTTTAAAACCTGAAGGCGTCCGAGTCTGGACACTGGAGACCTCGAGGCAAGCCGCCATTTTATGATCCGATCTATGGGCTTTGTGCAACTTCCATTACTGCACTTCGAAAATATTTGTGGAGCAAGCGTGGATGGCGCAAAAAACCCTGTGGGAAAAATCTTGTTCTAGTTTTACAAGTTGCGACAAGCTTTAAAGGGGCCCTGCAATGACTTTTTGACTGGTTTTTAATTTGCACTGAACCTGAGCGTACTGAACGTACTAACTTAATCCAACTTTTCCTTTCTCAAATTTCGCTTTATTTTGAAAGTTATAGGCAAATTAGAATTACAAAAACAAGCAAAAAATAACCTCCTTCGTGACGTCGTAGGTCCTGGATTGAGTGGCCTTGAACTAGAGGAGGAGTAGTGAGCTCATCGAGCGCACACGGCTGCTGCACTCCGTGTCGACGGCTCGAGAGGGCGCCACTAAAGCACGTGTTGCATAGGCTGTATAAAGCGGGTGGCCAGGGCAGCTCGCATTGCATTTGCTGCGCGACTAAACACTAATTCGGCATAACACTTCATTGGCCACAAACGACAGCAAACACGGGGTAAAGATCAGTTCAGAACGGGAGCCACTTCGCGCTGACGCACCGCCAAATGGCCAAATCGCCAGCAGGGCCCGCGCCGAAGGCCTTCGGAACCGGTCGGATTCTTGAGCCGGTATACGACCACAGCGCCGCCGCGTACATCCGGGACCTTTCTACGCTCCTCGTTCGTCGTAGCCTCATCCCACTAGCCTTTTCTAGTATGCGCCGTTTTTTTTTCGCCGCTTGGTGGCGGGTATGTCGACGGGTCATTTCTCGCTTCCGTACTTTCTAAACTGCATTTGTTTATTTTCTGATCTAAAATAGTGAACAAAAACTACTTTCATACATAATTGAAACGGTTCGCGACACTTATATATGTATCTCGACTAAAAAAAAAACTCTTAGCGGCTTTGACCAGTGGCAAGCCCAGGACCAACGACGTTACATTTTGCGCGCTTTCGGTACCGCAGGTCGCCCTCGTCGGTGAAGGAGGTTTCCGTGTCGTCTGGTTAAAATATGACGCACTGATATTTAATTACCCTCTCCGTGCCCGCTGGCTTGCCCGAACCCCAAGAGACGTGGAAACCGCAAAAAAGGTAGACGCTTAAATATGATTGCAGGGCCCCTTTAAGGTACCAACTGGCATCATGATGCACGTTCTGGGAAGAAGATTAAGACGTTGCAGCGCAATGAATTTGAAGATGCTGTGTTCTTTGCCGCTGCTTAAAGTATGCCGTGTGTCCTGTTTGCGGCTTCAAAGTACCAATTGCCGTCAAAATATACTATTCCATTAAGCTGTCAACACACCATCCAACGAGGCAAAGGTGGGGGAGGATCTCTTGTGCAAGTGGCATGTGTGCACATTTGGGGGAGTGTGCAGGGGGCACACCACAAAACACCGTGTGCATCTTTTTTTTTTTTTTTTTTCTTGAGTTGCCTCGCATCAACCATTTTGCTGCATTTTAGGTGTAATGATAAACATAACATGGCCTTTGCAGTGATGTGATTGCTGCACCAAAGGGCTTTCCTACCCTGCTAGATCCTACTACATTTAGCCCAAGTGTGAGGAACTTGCACCAACATTGTGCTAAAACTTGATTTCACTTTATTAATGCTGAGCATGTAATGGCTCGGGCCACGCTACGTGTCCGAAACGTTATGGTAGGCTTGCGCAAATTTTCAGAAATTTCAAGTTTAGCTTCAAATAAAGTACTATCCTATTTGATCTCTGTCAGTGTCTAAACACTGTCAGAACTAGGAATTTTCACGATATATGTTCCTAGTCTGCTCTGGCGTGCAAGTTATCTTTGTTGAGTGTGCTTCTCACCGTGCTTTTGTGTAGTGCAGTGAAGCGGCAACCGCGAAGCAAGCATAGCAGTTTTGATTACCTTGTTTTGCCTCAGTGCATCTGAGTGCTAGGGAAAGCATTCCCCCAGAGCAGGAAAATAAAACACGCAAGCGTCGTGTGTATTAAAAGAGGAAACTTCGTGAGTGTTAATGTAGCTGCTCTTAGCTGCAGTAATAATCTATTAATTAAACTGCAGCTAATATTTGTGATAGACAGCAGTATTCTGGCGATATCTTTTTCAAATTCGAGACCTATTCAGGGCACTCACAAGAAAATTTATATAAATTGCTAAGTAGGTTTTCTTTTTATCTGAACTTTGCTGTTTAGTTGTCACCTTTATATATGTTTTGTTGGTTCAAGGTACAGCCAATAGAAAAAATTAAAACTAAATTAGGTGAAGCAGTAGAAGTAAGCTTGGGAATAACCTTAACGACTGGCTAGATTGTTTTAAGAAGGCATACCTATCTTTCACATGCCGATCTCTGTTGTTACGAGGTTCTACATACAAAATGTATTTCATTTTCATAATTTAGGGACAAAAGATTTTGTTTGAATTTGAATTAAAAAATTGTTTTATTACAACCTTTAGAACTTGAATGAAACATCAGTTTGTGTGCTCAAGAGTATTCTAACATTATTTTAGTGGAATATACCATTTGGTTTACATTTTATTTCGTACCTGAAATGACCATTAACAGCAGTTCATACTGTCCTTCATCGATCAGCATCTTGTCGTCATGCCTAGTGCTTATATGTGTAACTAAACAGCTAGTTCTGTGTTTGAGAAATTCAAACCTGCCCTTGCACAAAATTGGGAAGGCAAAGCATGCACGTTTCTTAGATAGGCCAATACACGAATCTTCACACATAATATTCACAGTGATATAAATAAAAATGAAGTGCGTGCTTTTGCTCCAAAAATACTTTTTGTTGCTCCGTAATGGACCTTTGGCTGCTCGAATAGGTGCTATAAAATCACGGGTCAAACGCATCACTGCCTTTGCAAAAATCACTCCGTCCATATCTGGGAATCGAACCAGAAAACTCTCGGTCAGTGGTCTGATCCTCTACACCTCTGCTACTGCAGCTTTTTTTTTTTTTTTTTTTTTTTTACAGCGGAGCTGTTAAGGGCTAGTTTCCCCAGTTTCGTGTCTAGTACCAAACAAATGTCGACACAAAGCTCCGGACAGCTACCGCCATCTAGGAGCGACAACGGCAACCAGACAACCAATCTGGTTGCCGCCGTTGCTCAAAGATGGCGGTAACCTTTCCAGGTTAAAGGGATACTGAACCGAAAATTCGAGTTCACAAAACAAGGCCGGGCGGATAGGCGGGAAGCTGCAAAACCAAGAAATATAATTCATACGGCGATATATCTAACGGATCGCCGCATTTTTTGGAAAAGAAGTGCGGCGATTGAACCCGGCCGACGAGGCCGACGCGACAAGGCACGTCACGATTCCCATTCTCTCTCCTCCTCGCTACATCCCGTCAAGCTGGAGAACCGAAGCGAGGAGGAGAGAAGCGAGGCCGCTTCTCCTCATTCTCACATTCTCCCGGAGGACAGTTACGTCAAAGAACTCGCTTGATCGCGCCCTTCTTTTCCAAAAGTACGGCCATCCGTTTGAGATATCGATGTACGAGTGATGTTTTGGAGTTCATAGCGTCCCGTTCAACACTTCTGCAGCCTTACTCTGCGAAATCCAAATTTCGGTTCAGCATCCCTTTAAGGGGGCCCTGCAAGCACTTTTTTACTGGTTTTTAATTTTGCAGCTAACCTGAGTGCACTGAACGTAGTAACTTAAAGGGAAGCTACGGAGCTTCTTGGAAAAAATGAGTTAGAAGTGAATTCTAGTGTATTTTTACCCCGTGAACCCGACTACCCAAACCATTTGCTGCGTAAGTATTGTTAAACGCGAGAAAAACGCGAAAGACAGTCGCTGTCCATGACGTCATCGACGGCTCTTTTGGCTGCCCAAGGCTAGGGGGGCGGGGCTTCAGCCCTATTTTGAAATTGCTATTGTGGCTCTCCGGCGCGTCGCATTGAAATATAATTTTGATATCTGTTATTCTAAAGGCCAAATGAACGCAATTCAAGCGTTTTTTCTCAAATGTAGAAGTGCCCCATCTTCCCTTTAATGAAACTTTTTCTTGAATTTCGCTGTATTTTAAAAGTTATAGGCAAATTGAATTACAAAAACAAGCAAAAAATAACCTTTATGACGTCCTCGGTTGCTTGAGTGGCCATGAACTAGAGAAGGGGTAGTGAGCTCGGCGAGCGCTCACGGCTGCCGTACTCCGTGTTGACGACGCGAGAGGGCGCCACTAAAGCATGCTCTTCATAGGCTGTATACAGCGGGCAGCCAGAGCGGCCCTCATTGCATTTGCTGCGCGATTAAACACAATTCATTGGCCACAAACGACAGCAAACACGGGGTAAAGATCAGTTCAGAATGGGAGCCACTTCGCGCTGCCGCACCGCGAAACGGCCAAACCGCAAGAGAGCCGCTCGCCGAAGGCCTTCGGAACGCTCGGAGCTGGTAGGATCCTTTAGTCAGTAAACGACCGCAGCGCCGCCGCGTACATCCGGGACCTTTCCGTGTTGGCGCCTGATCCTACTATGTACTCCTTCCTAGTATGCGCCGCCTTTTCCACCGCTTGGTGGCGGGTATGTCGACGGGTCATTTCTTGTTTCCGTACTTTATGAACTGCATTTGTTTCTTTTCTCATCTAAAATAGTGAACAAAAACAACTTTTATAAGTAATTGAAACGGTTCGCGACACTTATATTTTGTATTTCGACTAAAAAGAAGCTTTTAGTGGCTCTGACCAGTAGTAAGCCCAGGACCACAGACGTCACATTTTGCGCGCTTTCGGTACCGCGGGTCGCCCTTGTCGGTGGAGGAGGTTTCTGCGTCG